AGCATAGACCACTTATAGGATTAACAGTGGTCAGCACGATTTGCTGATTTTGTGAACTTTTCTCTTGAGGAATTAGACGCTTCACACATTTCTATGCTCTTTCAGTGCTTTACCAACGTTAAAAATGCACATTCTACACCATTGCGTCTTAACGACGACCCTATCCACTCAGTCCTTTTTTCAATAGCTTTTTCGGTATCTGAGCACTTAATCTGATTTACAAGCCTCTCACGCAGTCTCGAGAAAGCCTGGCCAAAACTGTTATAAAGCGGGCCCCCGTCCCCAATGCCACCTAAGAAAAGCAATGGATGCAACAACTGCAAGGATGCTGTCATACCCCTCTGGCTGAAATCTGTACTTAAACGATGGGATTATTACTTTGCCAGGTTTGACCGTATGTTCGATTTATTAGTTTCCATGCAACAGTCGCACAGGTCCATTGTGAGGAAAATTGATGCGATTGAAAACCGTTTATTTGATCAAATGAGTGCAGCGCAGGCTAATAGTGATCTTTATACCACGTAAGTTTCATTCCGATTCCAAAAACATCTCCAGTAAGCAGTGTAATATTGTCTGGGTAGGCATCGAGGAGCAAGTTGATGATAGATCCACATCTGATTTTGATCGGGAAGCGATTAAAGAGATCATTTATGCCGCTTGCGATAACGAGCTGATGAGCCAATGGAAAGCAGGGAATATTAAAACTGCGCGGTTCCCACATAATCGTAGTGCCACCTTGAGGAAACCGAGAATAATCAAGATTAACCTCCCCTTGCAAGAGCTCAGGGACCGTCTCTTGGCCTTTATGAAAAGAGGGCGGCTCTCACTTACGCAAACATTTCCTCATTCTTATGCAAGACGAGACTATACTAAAGAGGAATTGGATTACGACAGACAGCTCAGAAAGAGAGCAGGGCTTCTCAGTGCGAATGGGGGTAAACTTCTTTATGTTGTACGAGCACTTGCTGGTCTAGATAAAACTCCGCGATCTCCGCGCTCCATTAGTCGCTCCAGTTCTATCGAGGTAGACCCTGCTCCCTTCTCCCGACGCTGATCGATCGCCTATTACGTCACCCTTGGTCCCTTCGCGAGCTGACGTTTTCCGCGAACAAATCATAGGTCCTAGCTTGGCGTCGATCGATAAATCTACCCGGGTGCATGCCATGCTCGAACCGGCCATTCAGCCTAAGGGGGAATCGGTCATGGCTTCAAAAGTTGATTTACCTCGCTAGGATAAAAGGGAGGGCGGGGAGGGTTCCTCGCTCGCACCTTCTCAAGATTTTCGCTATGCCAAGTCATCTTTGTTCAATAGACTGCTCCTTTTTAATGCCCGCTCTATCGTTAAAAAATCCCTGAATTCGATATGTTATTGATGCAAAATCCTTATGGTGTTTTCATTACGGAGAGCTGGTGCAAGCCCCATATGATTAGTGACGCTACGTTAAGTGGTCAAGGTAAGCAAAATGTGTTTCGTTGTAATAGGGATGGTGACAGACAGGGAGGAGGTGTCATTGTGGCTTTACGGAAAGATATCCTCCACCGTCTGTATGTATCCAAAAATTTCTCTGAGTATTGTCAAGTAATCATTATGGAGGTCACCATTAGTTGTCATGTAGTTATTATTGCTACGATTTACAGAAGCCCCTCCTGTAGGTTTGACGCTTTTTGGGAGTTAATTACATTTCTTTCTGACCTTATTCTCGATTTTCCTAGTCGCAAAAAATCATTTATTATGGCGACTTGAATTTTCCACCCGATTGACTGGACCTCATTTAATCATCGGGGTAATTTAAGTTCCCCCTCTTCGACTGCCCTTATTGACCTTTGCGTGTCTTTCAACCTCAAGCAACTGGTCATGGAGCCCACCTTGGACTAAACATACTTGATATTGTGTTGACTTCGGACCCCGAAATGGTTAGATGTGTTTAAGTAATGCATCCCTTCAGCACATCTGACCATCGCAGTGTTAGCGTACTTTTGTCTCAACCGATTTCTTGTCAGCTCTTGAAGAATACTCTCCGCCCTAATTTCCCTAGAGGTGATTTTGTCAGCATTAACAGGGGCCTATTAGAGATTGACTGGGTGCCACTTATTGCTCCAAATGGTGCTTACTCCTTGTTTGTTTCCATCTGTCACTCGCTCATTTCGCAGTACGTGCCATACTCCAAGGCTAAAACTTCACCCGTATACATATCCAAGAAAATACTTCGCTTAAGGGCTAAAGTGAGCCACATCCACGCCAATGTGGATCGCTATGGTTTTCGTAATTTATGCTAAATACGCTCAGAAGCTTAAGCGTATGGTCACTCGTTTAGCCATTACTGAGGAAGAAAAACTTGCCAAGCGGAGAAACCTTCATCGCTTTTTCAGATATTGCAATAGTAAACTCAACTTGTCTGATGAAATCCCTGAGCTTATTCTCGATGGAAATACCACTGCTCGTTTAGACTGTGAGAAAGTCGTAGCGTTTGCTGAGTATTTCTGGGCCTTATAGAGATGAACAACTACGTATTCACCTCACTTCCCCCCATACGATAAGCTGGGTGGATTTCTCCACTGAGTCAGTTCACAGGTTGTTGTCAAAGCTCCCCAACAGATATTCCACGTCTCCCGATAATATTCCTTACGTGTTTCTCAAACGTGCTGCTCTGGGCCTGGCTAAACCACTCACGCTCCTCTTTAACAAGTTCTTGCTGTTAGGTGATTGTCCTGATACTTTGGAAAACGGGGTTAGTTGAAACCGGTCCACAAAAAAGGTCCCCGCAACGTGGTGCACGAACTATCGACCTATTTGTCTTACTTCTTGTGTCTGTAAAGTTATGGAAAGAATTATTTGTTCTAGTATTCTTTCGTTTCTGCTTGGAAATAAATATTCTCCACTCTGCGCAGCACGGGTTCCTCAGCAAACGTTCTACGACAACTGCCCTGCTCTCAACCCTTCCGCGATGGCATAGGGAGCTTGGATCGAGGATCTTACGTGTCCGTCTGCTTTGTCGATTTCAAGAAAGCATTTGATTCCATCCCTGTCTCGCTGCTTCTCAAAAAGTTAGAAGGCGTAGGCTTAACTGGCTGCCTTCTCCGTTTTATTAGCTCGTTTTTGAGCAATAGAACGCAGTCGGTAGTCATAAACGGAAGAACCTTTCTATGTACCCATCCTCCAGTGGAGTTCCACAGGGTAGTTGCATCGGATAGCTTATGTTCCTGATATATGTTAACGATCTCCCCAAGGTTTTTCCCTCCAGGCGTTCGCATTTTCCCTGTATGATGACGATTCTATTCTATTTTTTTTTATTTTTACTATAAACAATGCGGGCCTATTGCAAGATGGAATCGATGCCTTGGCCAGTTGGGCTGCCAGGTGGGAACTTGAGATTTTTGAGGAGAAAACTACTGTTGAATGTGTTCAGGGACAAACCTACCCAGGACGTCGTTTTTTAGTTTTAAACGGGCTCTCCTCTCAGTTATTTCTTGATTATATTCGTGACCTCGGAGTCAGTTATGATGCAAGTCTCGATTTTGAGCGTTTTATTACTGATATTGTTACCGAAGCAATCATCAGATCGTCATCAGATCTAATTACATCTTGCGTGCCTTTCACTCGCGTGACCCTAAGCTGCTTTTATGTCACGATTAACGTAAGACCCATGCTTGAATACTGTTCTCAACTGCGGTCACCATATAAAGCATATCTAATTGATAGAGTGGAACAGTACCAGGAACAGGTCTTCAACCTATCGGGATTTTACGGTCGTAAGAAGCAGCACGCCGTAGATTCGTACGAGAGACGGCTTACTGCTCTTGGCGCGTTATCTTTGGGAAACCAGGTAGGGAGATCGCGGACTTGGGTCTTGTACAAGATTGTCTTTAATGAGGTCGACTTGGCCGTCGAAGATCTACTCCGTGTTTCTCCATTCAATAATACAAATAACTAGGGGCTTGCACGTGTTATGCTCCCTGGAATAACCTTAGCATCGACTTCTTAAAATTTAGGAAAGCCATTTCGTTCAAACTAGCGTTGGTTAAAAGGTTGCGGCAGCGTTCATACTTGTAGCGCTACAGCGTCGCGCTACTGCGTCGCGCTACAGCGTCGCGCTACTGCGTCGCGCTACAGCGTAGCGCTACAGCGCCGCTTCGCAACGTACTGCAATTTCCAACGTTAGGATGATTAGAGTTGCTTACAGAGAAAAGTGGGAAGGTTGCTGGAGTTTTCTTGAGAAATTCACGGAAAGGTGAGACTGATACAGCTGTTGTAACTATCCGGCTCCGTCCTTGACAGTTACTCCATTAGTCACTATTTTTCTGGTACTGCTTTTAGCGTAACAGTGTCCTTTGTCCTATTAAGAGCATTTTCTGCAAAAAACACCCAAAGAGTACTCGCGCCACCTAAAACACGCATGCATGTTTTTTTTACCGGAGACACAAGAACCATAAAGGAACTTCTTGTTTGCATTGTGCTAACGCATTGGTGATCAGACAGTCTTCGCGTGCCTGTTGTGGGAGATAAGGCCATTTTTTTCTGCTGCCGACAAATGCGACTCAATACTGATACGCTCCCTAGGCCAAAAAAGTACAAGAAACGATTTGTCAGGTTTGTTGGGCTGTGAAATGGCCTCGAAATCCGGCATAAATCTTTTTCCTGTGATCCAGGCAGAGATTGGGGGCAAACTCTAAAAGCAGATTTCGCCCCATAATTGATAAGCGGCATTGGATTCCGTATTCATTCTTTCTGTATTCAATCCTCTTCTCTTTGTTTCTAATATTCATCTAATATGAGCTCTGTTTTCTACTTTATCACATTTTAATGTAGTTTCGCAATCGGGATCAAAACGACGGCAGCACTGCAAGACATCAAGCAAAGCCATCAAACATCAAGCAACTGTGAAACCAAATAATTAAAGTCAAAAACGATAAATAAAACCAATTATCACAGTCTTCTGTATCAAAAACTACATTAAAATGTGATAAAGTAGAAAACAGGAGCTCACTATCAGATAAATATGAGAAACAAAGAGAAGAGGATGATATAGAAAGAAAAAACATAAAAGCTGGAGTTCGGTACAACTGTTGCCCTACAGTTGTACCGAACTCCAGTTGTACCAGCGCTACGCTGTAGCGCGACGCTGTAGCGCGACGCTGTAGCGCGACGCTGTAGCGCGACGCTGTAGCGCTACAAGTATGAACGCTGCCTTAGCCGGACAGCCTCTTTTTGATACCCATTCAGTCGTCGAATCGTTCGCCATGATCCGGTGGCTTGTTTTTCCGCCGTTTTTACTGATTTTTGTAAGGACCAGGATTCTCCATCTGAATTTTTGTTATTTTGTTCTTCGTTTGTTTGAGGGTCGGACACACGTAATAACCGTTGCATCGTCCCGTGACTGCTTATTCTTTCTGAGTTACCTCGCCTTCGTACCTTATTATGCTTCCCTTAGTCGCATAGTGGGCCTGAAGCTGGGTTGTTAGGGGTAGGGAATACCTGACATCCGAAAACCCAGCTTCAGGTATACAGGCGTGCCCTGGTGCCCCTGTATGTGGTGTTTCCCTAGCACCATCCGCTTATTTGATTTTTAATCTCCCGTGCTCCTCTTGTAACGGGGGCCAGGTTTCACTTGTTACTCACTAACTTATATTCGGGACCATAGAAGCGGTTTCTTCGTGTATCTTAGGCTCGTTAGGTTCATTACATGTGTTTCCGCATACGACTGGTTTCTATACACATGATCCCTCTTATTGATGCTTCCTAGTATGTTCACAGTTGTAAGTTTTTAGCTTTTCTTAGATGTCAGTTAAGAAGCTTCTCGTTGTTTTATCATGTTGCCCGTTACGTTGACTGACTGCCATACAATAAATAAACAATAAAGCGGGCGATTTTATCCTGTTTCGAATTTTTTTCTTTAGGCAGCGTTCATACTTGTAGCGCTACAGCGTCGCGCTACTGCGTCGCGCTACAGCGTCGCGCTACAGCGTCGCGCTACAGCGTCGCGCTACAGCGTCGCGCTACAGCGTAGCGCTACAGCGCCGCTTCGGACCGTACTGCTGTTTCCAACGTTAGGATGATTAGAGTTGCTTACAGAGAAAAGGTGGAAGGTTGCTGGAGTTTTCTTGAGAAATGAAACCAAGAAAGAAAGAAAAGAAATGAGACCGTTATAATTGGTTTTATTTACCGTGTTTGACTTTAATTATTTGGTTTCAGAGTTGCTATTGATGTTTGATGGCTTTGCTTGATGCCTTGCAGTGGTGCCTCACGTTGACTCCGATGACGAAATAGTTTTTGGCATCCACGTACAGATGGCAAACCAACACAGTATTCAGTCGCATTTGTCGGCAGCAGAAAAAATGGCCTTATCTCCCACAACAGGCACGCGAAGACTGTCTGGTCACCAATGCGTTAACACAAGGCAACAAGAAGTTCCTTTATGGTTCTTGTGTCTCCGGTAAAAAACATGCGTGCGTGTTTTTAGGTGGCGCGAGTACTCTTTGGGTGTTTTTTGCAGAAAATGCTCTTAATAGGACAGAAGGACACTGTTACGCTAAAAGCAGTACCAGAAAAATAGTGACTAATGGAGTAACTGTCAAGGATGGCGTCAGATAGTTACAGCTGTATCAGTCTCACCTTTCCGTGAATTTCTCAAGAAAACTCCAGCAACCTTCCCACTTTTCTCTGTAAGCAACTCTAATCATCCTAACGTTGGAAATAGCAGTACGTTGCGAAGCGGCGCTGTAGCGCGACGCTGTAGCGCGACGCAGTAGCGCGACGCTGTAGCGCGACGCTGTAGCGCGACGCTGTAGCGCGCTGTAGCGCGAGCGTAGCGCGACGCTGTAGCGCGACGCTGTAGCGCGACGCTGTAGCGCGACGCTGTAGCGCGACGCTGTAGCGCGACGCTGTAGCGCGACGCTGTAGCGCGACGCTGTAGCGCGACGCTGTAGCGCGACGTAGCGCGACGCTGTAGCGCTACAAGTATGAACGCTGCCTTATATGTGATTTGCGGCACTATTTACCCTTTACTGCCCCAATATTCCGAAAACAGGTCAGTTTTTGACCGACTTTTTTCTGCATTGGCAGAATTGGCTAAAAATTTTTTTACTGAGGTATATTTTGACCTCCCGAATACGAGGATCACCCGCTCGGCACGAAACCTCTTGGCGCCCGCGCCACAGGCGCTGGCGCCAAAATACCCTAAATCACCAAATTCGCTGAAAACTTGCTCCCAAGGGTAGTCTGACCTCCTGAACACGAATATCACATTTGCTTGGCCCGAAACCTCCTAGCGCCCGCGCTACAGCCGTTGGCGCCAAAATACCCCAAATCACGGGCGCCTGTGGCGCGGGCGCCAGGAAGTTTCGGGCTAAGCGAATGTGATATTCGTATTCAGGGGTCAAACTACCCCAGGAGACATTTGAGCCAAATCTGTCCACGGAGAAAAAAGTCGGTCAAAAACTGGCTCAATTCTGGATGGTTGGGGCAGTGAAGTTTAAATAGTGCCGTGAATTGAAATATGGCGCCGATATATAGTCCGAATCCATATGACGCGGTAGGCGTGGCTACGTGCTTCATTCGGCGGGAGTGAGCGTAGAGACTTTTCCGCGTTGCCACCTAACACAAGAGGAGTTTCGAACAGACTGTATGCCACTGTTGCGAATACTCGAACATGGTCAGTCCTTTCAACAGAGAATTTTGCCAAGTTTTATCAACCTTTCAAGGACGAACGGTTTTTTGCTTCAATACTCACCTCAAAAAACGTATTGGTGTATTTCTATATTTTATTGTCTTTAGTTCCATTAGGGATTTCGAGTGTTCTGATTTCGATCTCTGAAATGTCCCGCGTTGGGGACCTCTTAATGCTACGAGGTAATTTTATTCGTCTTACCAGGAGAGGTCAACTGGCCATTCTGAGTGAAGTGCACCTCTGTGCGCGTGTTGAGACGGTGAACTCGAATCTGTCTTCAGAATTTGCGGAACGATTCTCTAAGCTGAGAGTTAATTTACTTGTTATCGTGAGCAAACGGTAAGCGTCTTTACATAAATGTAAGGAGTCCTTCCGAACCGTGGTAGTAGAGCGCAACGGATAGCGAGTAGGTTTCCTAGACGAGATGTCGTGGGCGGGTCGCACGTTTTTGCATTTGTCCAAGAACATGGCCGACAAAGCTTCTAACATCTCTGCTCGCCTGCACTATCCTGTAAGGGAACCTGCGACCAGTTTTTTTCGAAAGTGTAGACCCATTGTGGCCTGAAAGAGTGCTTGTGCTTGTCCCCCTCGTAACACATGTCACAAGGGTTTTTGCAATGAAATACCATGATATTCATGTTCAGCTAGGTCAATTTACCTCTGGGGACAAGTTTCTAGCCAAATCTGATATTTCGACCTAACTTGGAAAATGTGGGCTATTCTATGACTAATCGGCAGCAGATTGGAATTCACCACCATCGATGACTGGTCTCGGGATGGAATTTCCTACCGGTAACCAGGAAAATGATGCAGATGGCACGAATAAGTAAGCCAGGTATTGTTCTTTGCGAAAAGACATGACTTAGA